GATGTCTTCTCTCGACTAAATTTGGGTTCCTTTTAGCGGCATTTTCAGCTTGAGAAATAGCCAAAGGTCACACGGAGCCATGTACAGAGAATACGAAGCGTGACGAACCACAGGAGTATTGTGTTTGGCGAAGAAAGCCCGAATCAGATGCGCAGAATGGGCGGATGCGTTATCATGATGGAGCTGCCAAGTTTTGATCGACCACAGATCCCATCGTTTGCATCGCACTGTATCGGAAAGACGACAAAGGACCTCCTGGTAGTACTCCTTTGGGATGGTTTGGCCTTGTGGTGCGTACTCACGACACACCACCCCACGAAAGTCGAAAAAACTGTCAACATGACCTTTGATATTGCTGCGGACCTGCCGCACTTTTTTTGGCTTCGAGGATCGTCCCCGAAAGCCTGCTGAATCATGCGAATGGTTTACACTCGGGTATCGCCAAGGTTTTTGGCAAAATTTGATGTAATATCGCTGCTCATGTTCAGTCATTTTCCAGCTTAGTGAAATCCGACGAGAGCTCACTACATGACCTCACTCATATGCCGATTGCCAACGACTGATGCTTTCTGCAGGCGGGAAAAAATTCAGGGCTATGCATGACTGTCCCCTCCACAACTCCACCGAAGGAGGCCTCTCTCGCATCATTGGTTTACGCGGAAAAAAATAAGGTCTCCCCTCCACAACTCCACCGAAGGAGGCCTCTCTCGCATCATTGGTTTACGCGGAAAAAAATAAGGTCCAATATTTTTTGAACAGACCTTGTATACAGTACAAGTATCCCTTGATTAACATGTTTAATCAACTTCTCAATTCTACTGTGTATATCAAAATTGCATTAATCAAAATATGGTATCTATGCTAAGTAAAGACTGTAAAGTAAGCTATGTTAAAGTAAGCTGGTAAAATTGCATAAATTAAAACTTACTGCTGCATATATAAAATGATTACTGTAATTAATTTTGCACATTAAGCAAAGGGTACATATATCTGACACAACATATTGGCAAATGTGAAACAATGGCATAACATAATGCGGGACTGCCTAGCTGGCAGGTGGCATATTTTTCAAAGTAATACATATTAATTGCTTCATTCATTTTTCAAACTCATCTTTTCATTTTACACCAAGATATTCTACATAAGTGTTCAATCCTGAGTGAATCATCCTGTGCAAACTACTATTTGCATTTGTTGCAAGTTGAGGATGGCCACAGAATGGCCAAAAATGTTATTTAATAAAGAATAATTTTGGTTTTCTAGATGTTTACTTTCAATATATCAGCAGTATTATCAAATCATTGAATAAAATTATATAAATTAGGCAGAATGTAAGTAAAAAAAAATTATTTTCAAATAAAGAAAAATAAAAACAAAATATAATATCATGAAATTAAGCATTTATTTTCCACCAGTTTCACAGATCAACAACTCAGTTAAATAGATTCTCAGGACAATCAAGGTTTTATTTGACATTGCACATTAACATGTTTGTTATTAATACAAAGAATAGGGTTTGTAAATTCTATTACAGTAATTGTAGCTATTGAGGACAGTACTGCTGATTAGAATGTTTAGATTTAAGAAACAAATTTTATTCTTTATATATATAAAGTTAAATTTCTTGCATTTTGAACATTTTAGGGTTTCCATTTTAACAAGATACTGGCCTCGCAGTTAAGATGACAGCACACTTGCAGACAAATAAATAGAATGCATTTCAATTTGCTTACTGAGTGAGGAATTGGCAGTTTTAAACTCCGATCTATAAAATATTTGTACTTTTATTTTATACCATATCTTATGGCACAACTGATATGCTGTTGACTAGCATTGTTTGAAAGATTCTCAAAACAGAGCAACAATTGGGCATTTATTTTTTCAAATGTGCAAGAGAGAATGTTACTTTGGAAGGATGATATTGCTTCTGATACACTCAGTATGCATAATAATGCAGACAAAGAATTGTATAAGCCATATCTGCAAATGAACAGTCTTCCATTTTGTTTTGTGTGCATACAGAAAAAATTTTTCAATATGAATATTACAATTTCATTATCAATGACTAATTTTTGAACTAAGATTTCCAGGAATGAGACTTAAATATTTATAACATTAATATATTTGAATAATTATCAAAGAATTTGAGATTAAGAAATTCATAGATTGATTTTAACTACATTTATAAATTAGGACACAAGCTAAATTTAGGAAAAAATTTCCAATGTTCAAACATTCCACATTCAATAGAACACTAAAGGATCATTTTTAATATGTGTATATTATATTAATATATTTCACAAAATATATTCATACAAGATATATGTATGAAAAATATAAGGTATGCAATGACTCCAAAAGGATGATTTAAATATCAAAGTAATCACAAATTGTTTCAAGACTGCTTTGATATTTTTCATAGAATGAGAAAGTGCTTATTATTGTTACCAATTACATAAAGTCAATCAGGACATTTGTTGAGAGTGTGATCGTTACATAGGTTGAATCAAAAATCAATCACAATATATTTTAAGAGAGATTAAAACCAGTTTGGAACAGCTGCATGTCATCTTTAATTCAGTTGCTTCATTGGAAGTGGAAGAATCCTGGATAACATGCAGCTGTTCTGAACCAATTTTAACTGCTCTTAAAATATGCAGTACCTCAGTTAACTGACTTTAGGCCACTCTATATTATAAGATACAAGATTTAAAAAAAAAAAAAGTTTTTTTTAATGGGTTTTAAGATTAGAAAAACTAGAGTATAGAAAACTGTACAAAACTTTAAATTTCAGTTTTAGAAAGGTGAAAAACTTGTTAACATAAATTCAAATTTCAGGAAAATAAAAGTGTTAGAAATTGTAATGATGAATTTTTGAGTTTTTCTGAAATTTAAATTAAGCTTTAAACATTAAGAAAATGGGAAAACAGTTTCCAGTAACTATGCAAAGCCAAAGCTGAAGAAAGGTAGGAAATTTCAATTCAGTCTATTGAAAATTCTAATTGAAAAACCAGAATTTGCAATAAACTTCTACAGAAACTTTAGTTTTATATTGCTAATTTATATTTCTTCACTCTGAATATTTCCAAAATTTTAAATTATGTTTAAAGACCAGAAAGTGTTTCTAACTAACAAATATTTACCAAAGCAGAAATTTGCTTGAAATTTATATTAGCAAATATATAAATACTGAAAAATTTTTTCAGTTGTGTTTTAAATTTATGCAATATAAAATTTGTATATAAAAAAAAAGCTTAATAAACAAAAATAAATGTACAAGCATTATAATAATATAAATAAATGTTGTTAATAATTTATGAATATAGACAATAAAAAATTTTTGGTTACCTTTATAAGTTGTTGGAAATAATTAAATATATATTTCAAAACAAAGGAATTTTGATGTATCAATATGTAATTTTAGTATATAGCAATAGTTAAATTTCTTAAAGTAAAAATATTAAATGCTTTCTGTACAAGTACAATAAAATTTTTAAAAAATCAGTAAAAGATGTGAAAACCTTTATAAATCACATCAAATTAAAAGCAATTTAAAATAAAAAAAAAGTTTAGTAGACAGGTAGCTGATATTCAAAACTGATGTCACAAAAGGTTGAATTGAGTTATTCTAACTTAATAAGCTCGACATCAAATGTTAGAGTTGCATTTGGTGGAATAGTATTAATGTTAAGGTAAAAATTTATTTAATATTTAATAATAATAATAATAATAATATATTAAATAACTTCAGATAAATATACATTATACTTACATATACATTAAGATAAAAATAATATACATTTTTCAAATTATACTATGGATCCTCACACTTTGTGATTGATTCATTATTCTATCAAACCTTTTCTTTGAGAGTTCTTTGACTCTCACAGTAAGATTTGTCTCACACTAGTTTATGAAGGCTACTTACTAAACCAAATGATGATAAGCCAATTAATGTTACTTGTTTTTGAAACTGTCATACTAAATTACTTATTCTAGTGTATAACAAATCCAACACCTATATCATGTCACTTCTATAACAAATTAAAACAAAATTTTCTATAGTAACCACATGACATTCTATTATCCAATCTAAAGTAACAATCTAATGAGCCCATTATTTAGGAAGTGTCAGCACTCATCTAACTAATGTACCTGTACAGTACATACAATTCATTTTTGTTTTATCAATGTGGAATTAAAAAGACTCACTATTTTGTCAAAAAATGCCTAGAAGCATAAGAGTAGAATGGTCAAGTAAATTCTAGATCTAAAAGAATATGGACAACTGAGACCCCTGATGGCCGTGAAGTCCGACTTGAGCAACATCAAGTAAGAATGGCTTTGTCAAGGGCTACATATCTACTCTTCTCAATTCTTCAATTGCTTCTTTCTCATAAAAATATTCCATCATGCTTGATGGGAAATTTCTAGTTAAAAATATAAAAACTTTTTAATAATAAAAATATCATAACAGATGGTGCAACACAGGCAGTTTTAAATGTTGCTGGAAAAGTTAAGCAACTTGTTGCTGGATTTTTTTTCTATTAATAGACAAAAAACAAAACTTGCTTCTTAAAAAACAGAAAAAGCCTTGTATTTATTTAAAAAGTTCTGGTGAGACATATCTCAAAGTATACAATTTAGACAGGCACATAAAAAATGCACTGCATGAATGCTGTCAGTGCATCACTAATAAATACAATAATGGCTAAACTGATTGCATCACTCCTGATTGCCATAGCACACAGTTTGGGAACCACTTCCTTATGGCACTGTAAAAACCAAGCTGATAAAAGTCACTAATATAAGCCCATTAATGATGTAAATGCAGCATTTTAGGTAATTCACATTTATCATTTTAAACATTTCAATAAAGAAAAAGTGACTTGAGAAAATAAAAAAAGCTGTTGGAATACTAAATAAATATTACAACACAATAAAAATTATATGAAATTATTCTATAACAAACATTTTAATTTCACACTTGTAACAAACAATATATATATGTTAAACTCAAAACCCAAAATCCACCAGAACCTAATCCTACTAGACAAAATTAGTTCTAACAAAGTCTCTTTGTTAATTCTAGTTTTAACTAGTTAAATCTAAAAATCACTGTCTAGTGTTTGTAAAATCTAGTTATGTAAATACTTCAAAAGCTATGTTTTTGAAGTATTTACAATTTTACTAGGTAAAACTTTCTTACTGAAATAAATCATTTAAGTGTTTCAACAAGTTTAGATTACCAGCCGAACACAATGACCCCTTTTGCCACTCAGACTGTCCGTCCTACAACCCATATTGTAGACTCAATTTAACACTCATGTTGCTGTTCACTATTTCACGAGACAGAAATGACCTTGTAGACCAAGTCTGTGCTATTTATCTCTGAACAATTTCCTCACAGTATCCTGTGTAACCTGTAATTACCAAATTACCAACAAATTTAGAGGTGACTATTTTTTATCCAGTGTGTTTATATTTGTATTGTATTTAATATGTTAAATTTAGACATTATTATTATTATTATTTCATTTGTCAGTATAGTTGTTGTTGTGATGTTTACTTAATTTTGTGATTTTGTAAAGATAATTATACAATTAAAACTGTAATTTCAAACCAGTTCTTAGAAAAACCTTTTTTGGAAGTTCTTGGTTGTATTATGTAAATCATGAAAATTACTTAAGACAGTTAACTACAAAGCTTATCAAGGTCATTTGTAATGTAGAATGTTTTTTAAAAGTTTTACAAATTTACAAGGTCAATACTGGTAAATGAGTGATGTATATGGTTTAATTAATAATATAATATGTATAATTTATTCTTAAAGCTTCAATTTAAGGTGTGATTAAATTTTAAATTCTTAGAACACCAAGTGGGATACACACCAAATGTCACTCTAATCTATTACCAGATTAGAAGTGATAGTCTATGAAAAAATGTAGCAAGTTTAATTATTTTAAGTAATGTCAAAAGCTAAATTTGTAGTCTTTTAATTGAACTTTTTATTTTATTTTAAGCTGAAGAATTTTTTAAGATAACTGTAAAACCTACATTTAGAAATCCAGCAATGAGTTGCTTAACATTCCCAGCAACATTTAACCATAATAATAAAATATCATAACAGATGGTGTCACACACATTGCATATGTGGAACCATTTGTTACAATATTGTTATTTTTTATATTTTTAATTATTATAAAATGGCAACAAGTTTAATTTTGAAGGTAGGGATGGATTTTATAAAAAAATTATAAATGTTAATAATGAGTAAAAATCAACCACTTTTTACTAACCTTTAACATGCAGTCTTTTTTATTAATGTAATCTAATGTTTTCAATCACATTAATTGATCTTCGTTAGGATCGAACAAACAATTTTGAATTTATGACAAATGAAACCGATTAAAGAACATTTTAACTTAAAAATAACCACTTTTAAAGCGTTTAAAGTAAGTGCAGTTTGAGAAGAATGAGTAAAATCATCATTAAGTACAACTCTACTAGAGATATGACACACAACCCCCTTTATCTCCCCATTCTATTGACCGTTAACTACCAAAATTTAATAGCATCAATCCCCCAATACACAAACCACCCTACAAACATTCATACACACAGAAAAACACATGAATTTTTTTTGCATTTTTCAATGTTTCAAGGGCCCAAGTTCAAAAATGTAAAAATCTTGGGGGGAGTCAGTTTTTGATTGATTGCCATACTTTTCCTGTTATATATAACAGAGGGAACATATGGCAATTGTATAGTAAACTGTAAGTTAAGTAAAATTCAAGTTCAAGGTTGTGCAGTTGTCACATTTGCTATTTGGAAACATAGAAGAAAAGGATAAAATAATTCCTACTATATTAGCTCCATCCAAATCCCTGTAAGCACACTAACATTATTGTCTGAAGTTAATAAAAAATATCCAGGATGAGGATAAACTTCGAAAAGTCATTGATCAAATAAATGTAGAGCAAGAAGAAACTGAAAATGTTAACAAAGAGAACAAAACAGGAGGTGTTAGCTGGTTCATTGCCAAATATAAATATCTCTTTAGTAAGAAAAGCAGCCAATGAAAATTTAAAGAAGCAAGCCAAGAGAATGAAAATGATTTCAGATGCAACACATCCCCTGGACTGATATAGGAGGTAATGATATTTTAAGTTCTGGATTTGAACAGAGCAAAAGAAGACATTCAAAACCTCGTGGTTATGTTTGAAAGGAATGAAGACTGTCTGTACAAGATTGGGACAAAAGATGAAGTTTTGAATAAGCCATATGATAGGTATGGTCACTTATGTTTAATAAGGTTAAAATAAATTTTAAACTGAAAGTTAAATGAAAAACAGTTGATAGATAATTTTGCTAATTTTTTCATATCCAAATTTGATGTTTCTTCTTCTAGGTACTGTAAATCATGAAATTTCACAAAGGAATGCTAACTGGAACAAAGCAAGCATTCTTTTGCTGTGCCATACAATTAGTATTACACTTCAATGCTTCTGCAAGAAACAAGAAAATCTCTGAATCTTGAAATGACATTATATGCCTTGTTCAGTAAAGAAAAGTGTACAGGTAACCCCTGTATAACACGGTAGTTATGTTCCAAAAACTGCCGTGTTATGCGAATCCATGTTATACGAAACAAAGAACTAATATGAAAAGGAGGGTTAGGTTCCAAAAATTAAAAAACATGCTAGTATATTTTCATAATTAAGATAAATATCTTCATTAAAAATTTTAAAGTGATACATATTAATATAAATTAAACAATGTTTTCTTCGTCATCACTAAAAACACTATTAATTAACCGAGAGCGTTTTCTTTTTGGCAAGTTATCCTTATCCTCTGAGCATTTTTCTGCATTATCTTCAGATCCATGCTTTACCTTTTGAAAAAAGTATGTAATTTTAGATTTCTTGCTTCTAGTTAAAAGATCTTTATAAATTTCCTTATATGGTGCTAAGCACTTATGAAGAATAAAGCAAGTATGGAATAAGGGAAAAACATTCGGCAACATCAGAAGAGAAGCGTCGCGATCTGGCAACATTGAAACAAGTTTCGAGAAGGACCACGTGTATCGACAGAAGGCGAGAAGAGAAAATTTTCATACTTAAGTACTAATAGTTCATGAAAATAATAATTTTCGTAAACTATTATTACTTAAGTATGTAAAAATTTATTACATTTCCTGTTGTACGAGGGTTTTACCCAATTCTCGAACCGTGTCAGAGTAGATCCGTGCTATAAAAGTACCGTGTTATACGGGGGATGGTACCAATTCTCGAATCGTGTTAGAGTGAATCCGTGCTATAAAAGTACCGTGTTATACGGGGGATGGTACCAATTCTCGAACCATGTTAGAGTGAATCCGTGCTATAGAAGTGCCATGTTATACGGCGTTTACCTGTACTATCTACTGATAATGATTAAAATAATAGGCCCAATGAAGTTTATTCACTAATTACAATTGCTGTTTTTTTCATAATTACAATAAGCTTTTACTAAAATCATGTTCTAATGGTAAGGAATTTTAGTCAATATTTCTTACTAGCTAGAATCCATTTTTAGTTCATACTAATGCTGTCAACTACATTTTTTGATTCTATCAATAGATTTAACTAGTTAAAACTAGAATTAACAAAGCAACTTTGTTAGCACTATAATTGAGT